GATCCTTGAGGTATATTAATTCCTTAAATTTATAGTTTTTGGAGGGGTCACGACGTGAGATTTGATGGTCACGTCGTGAGTAATTGTTGACTAGTTGACCGCATCCTGACGAGGTCTCACGACGTGAGGACAACTGATGACTCAAAACAATAATATTTAGGGTATTTAAAGGAATTAGAGGCTAGGGTTGCACACCCTCAGCCTCTCTCGCCCTCTAAGCCTCCTGGAAACCCTAAATTCGACATTCTTTGAGATCTTTGGTTATTCTTGGTGTTTTGCTTTCTTAAAGGAGAAGAAAGAAGAAGAAGAAGAAGTATCATTTGTGGTGGAAGTTGCAAGGAAGCTCCTTTATCGTCAGCTCTTCCTTTGATTGGACCCTTTATAAGTGCCAAGACTCAAACTTTATCTCATTTCATGGCCAGATCTAGGCTTTTTGTCCCATTTCTTTAAGTTGTAGCTTGTTGGAGTGAAGGAGATCCATAAAGTTAACAACTTTATGGATTCAAATGGTCTTTTGAGTCTTATTCCATTTAAATTTGGAAGTTGGTGTGGTATTAGATGCTTGCATGTGAGTTTGAGACCATATTCCTACTTTTGACCTAAAAAGGATGGATGGACATGCATGTCCATAAAGCAAGCATTTTTATGGACCATTAGGGTCCCCTTAAGCTTCTGTAAGGGTTGGAATTGAAGGCTGAATTAAGAACATTGAAACGTTGGTTTTGGCTTCAGACCGTTCTCACGGTGAGACATGAGGTCTCACGACGTGAGCAGGCAAAAATCGTCCCTTACTGAGTTGTCTGAGTAAGGAACGAATCTTTGGACTCGAAACGGGTGACTCTCATGACGTGACCAAGGATTGGTTACGACATGAGACGCGATGTTGGGTTTTGGGCCTTATTGGGCCACTAGTTTTCTGACCTTGGGCCATTGTTAGGTTGTGGACCTTCTTGTATTTGGGCCCATATAGAGCTTTGGGTGTCACCTAGGAATTGGGTCACTATTAGGCTTTAGTGTCATTAGGCTTGGGCCTTGGTTATTGGGCCAAGTGAGGGAAGGGAAAAATGGTTTTTTTACCATGGGTATTGGGACTAAGGAATTTAATTCTCGAATATGGTTTATGGACCTATGATTAATTGGGATTTTATTTGTTGGTTAGCGCGGGGATTCTCCGGTTTAGCAGCCCGAGCATTTATCTAACTCTTCAGCAGATTGAGGTGAGTCTCCTCACTATGCTTGGCGGGTCGAAGGCACCAATATCGACCCATGATTTACTATGATTAGGATGCTAGTTGTTGTGTGGCTCTTGCATGTGTGGTATGTGGTATGTATACCAGGCAGGGTCCGATGCTGGACGGGGCCTGATAAGTGTATTGTATTCCGTATATCTTAGTATTTATTGCATGTATGTTATATGTATGTATGTATACCGGGCGAGGCCTGATGAGTATGATTGGGCGGGGGTCATATCATGTTATTGACAGATCTGTTCCGAGCGGGGCCCGATGATTGTAGGGAAAGGCCCATTGTATGTATGGTATGTGGTGTCTTGGGGAACTCACTAAGCTTCGTGCTTACGGTTTTCAATTTATGTTTCAGGTACTTCTAGATCGAAGGGGAAAAGCTTGGGACGATTACATTGCACACACACCCTGTTTTTCGCCTTATTTGACTCTGATGTATCTGGATGATTGATTGTAATAATCTGATTTTCCCTTGGTGGTTTCTATAAACATGTTTGATTGATGGTCTTTTTAATATGAAAATGAAATTTTTGGTTTTAAATTTTGGGACGTTACAATTCGCCCCCGTGTTATTCGTGTTACCCACAACTTTGTTGGTGATAACTACAGTCTAACAACTAAAAACTTAACTCGGTACATGTATGTGTTCATTCCTATAATTAGAGAGGACTTTAAGGAGTTAGGCATTGATCTCCATCATATCATTAAAAGAAAGGTTGAAAATAGAGCAAATACAAGTTTTTGAAATGATGGAGACTCGCCATTTCATGATTGATTCTCTCATTGTGTTATACTGAGCCCAAGAAAAAATGTTATGTTTCTGATCATGTCCATGTTCTTGCTGTTATTATGTTTTCTGGTCCTGGAATTGGAAAAATAAGGAGGTTCAGTTTTGAAACTTCTAAATTTCATAACATGTTGAGTCTTTTAGAAAGCTTTAGTTGTTCAACATTTTGGAGACTCTTAACACTGGTTGGGTAATCCAACTAATAATTTCTCTATTTAATCCCCTACGAAGACTCATTAATTCGATTGATTACCACCATGAACCTATCTCGATCAAGTGGAATAGTTGGGTGCCATTTAAAATTAACTTATTTTCTTGGGGGCTTATCCAAAACCATGCCCTTCTTGTTGCGGATATTATATACTAGGTTATAGCCCGTGAGAACCACGATTACAACAATAATTAAATTTTTATAGTAAAACTCATAATTATTAATCAGTTATTTTCAGTAAGTTATTAGTTAAACATGATTTTGTAGGATTTTCAATATAGAAATACAATTAATTATCAGTAATCATAACATAAACATATTCAAGACGAATTTAAATTTCTCCTAAAAATCAGGAATCAAATAAATAATTGTCTAACTTATTATCAACATCAATACTTTTCAAAAATAAAAAATGATGAGAAAATGTCAAGTATCATTTTTATAAAGCATTTGAAAAGAAAATGTGAATTATGAGAAAATTAGTATAGGAAGATAAGGGCATTCATATTTGAAGTAGCTCTTGTATATTCTGCTAGCTGAAGTTCGATGGATCAATAGTTAATATGTTGTTGATCGCCACAAATCTCTATCGGGAAACATAATCTTGAACGTTTGATTGACATAATTTCATTACTTACGTTTATAAGGATATCGATATAATGAAGGAATATTTGATCACTTATTAATGACTATTTCATACATATAGGTTATGAGTGCAATAGTAGTCTTGGATAACGAACAACTTGCTAGGTTTAAGAAATACGAGACTATAAAGTTGTTGTGACATGTTAAAGTGGGAGATTGTTGAAAATATATCCATGTTCACAAAAAGTTGATAATATTTCTATAAATAGCATTGTCCGCTTTCGTTGCACGCTAGATATGATTCAAGCGTAATATGACAAAAGAGAATGATGAGGGACTAGTTTGTTAATTCATTATGTGATGGTGTGTTAATTAGAAACTAAAAGAAACTTATGGGATAATTCTACCAAGTCAAAAGATAAGACTTAATAAAACACTAGGTTGGCCGATCCCATAAAAAGATATACAAATTTCATTCCATCCTTCCTCCCTAGTTCATGGTTTTTACATACACCTTCTCTAAGGTTCGGGCTTGGCCACATCAAGACAAGAAGGATTTGTCTATTTATTGGTCGTTCATCTTGGGTGCAATCACATTACAAAGGTGTTGGTTTGGACCTTTAAATCATCCAAGAAACCATGGCCATCAAAGTACAAAAAAGTATTGTTTCGATCCTATTACTTATATGTGTTTTGTTGCTAAAAGTTTCTAGAACAACATCTACGATGAGTAATGATGGTTAAAAGGTTTATTTTGCTTCCATTGCTATTTTGTGAAAAAACCCATCACAACCTAACAGTTATTCGAACTACATGGTGGATGTTATGGAGATTCAACAATGTGTTGGTATTCAACAACAACAATACAAAACATGAGTACATTTTTTATTCAACGGTCGAGTATCATTTTTATGGTTCTCTTCTAGAAATCGAAAAGCTCATGTACAATAGACCGATTGGTTCCAAAGTCCGTTATTTTCTATGTAAATTTTTTCCCTTTTTAGCAACGTGCATGTGAGTGTCTCTTAATAAAATCCAGTTATTTGAAAAAAAAATCGAGCATCAGTCGATCAAGACATAATGACACTTGATTTTGATATCATACATAAGAGGTATCGATTGTGTTATATATATATATATATATATATATATATATATATATATATATATATATATATAGATACTCATCATGTTAAAATTTACATATCTACAAGGTTATACGTTTGATCGTTATAGTTGGACTCTGATCCTACGGCTAACCCTGTGATGAGAGTTTATCGTTGAGGTGCGAATTCCACACAATAGTTAGGTTCACGGTTCAAACCTTATCAAGTCAAAAATATCGTTAGTTTTATGCGATTCACCCTAGCATGGGCCTTGGTGCAGGTTGACGCGGGTCGCATACCATTTTTTTTATACATGTGACTAAACTAAGTAAGGACTTTTTTTTTTTGGAATTAAACAATTAAATAATCAGGATATATATTTTCTTAATTATTGAACAAGTAAAGGAAAAAAAAAACTAAAATACCTTACAAAAATAGATGACAGCAATATCCACGTTGATGACTTCAACCGGATTCAGCATATTACTATTGCCTATTGGGTTTCCTCTGTTAATTTGTTTGTTATTTTACTTGTTTATTCACAAAATATATGCACATAAATAGAGGGTAATATTTTGTTTCTACTTAAGATATAGATTGCTATATTCATGGACATTCATAAAGCATGACGTATAATACTATAAAAAAAATAAAATGACAATATTTTATCACAATTTACCATTTCACTTATACAAAAATTAATAATTTAAAAATGTTATTCAAATTAAAAATGAAAAATTAAAGGAAACTTATGAAATAAAGTAACCTCCAAAACCGTAAACGAGTCAAAATAGGTAAGTTATAAGTTGTTCCTCCAACTTCCCCCGATAAGTTACAAAAACAGGCGAGATTTTCGTGACATAATCCCACGCACTAATATATCGACACGTGTCATATCTACAGCTGTATTCCTTCTTCTTCAACCGCCTACTTCAAAACCCCCGTAACTATAACGCCTTCTCACCTGTTCAAAACTTCACCGACTCATTCGGTTACCCTTCTTCCCTATATAATCCAAAACCCTTTCTTCTCCTGTTCATCTTTCTCCCATTGTCGGCCTACATTTCATGGAATCATCTCGGAGTGATTTGGATCGGATCAAGGGACCATGGAGCAGCGAAGAGGATGAGCTTTTGGGTAAGTTAGTTGAGCGTCATGGAGCTCGAAACTGGACGTTGATTAGCAAGTCGATTCCAGGGAGATCTGGTAAGTCGTGCCGTTTGCGGTGGTGTAATCAGCTTTCGCCGGAGGTTGAGCATCGGTCGTTTACGGAAGAGGAAGATAAGGTTATTGTGGAGGCGCACAAGCGGTTTGGGAACAAGTGGGCGACGATTGCTAGGCTGCTTAATGGACGTACTGATAACGCGGTGAAGAATCACTGGAACTCGACTTTGAAACGGAAGAGTTCGACGGTCGATGGCGGAGAGGAACGGTCTGCGAGAGTGCTGAGGCGGTCGGAGAGCGGTGGTGCTGATGTGACTGTCGCTATGTCTATGTCTATGTCTGGCAGTCCTTCTGGATCTGACATCTGCGATTCAGGTAACAATATTCCGTTTCTCTCCATCGGAAAAAACAATACAACCTCTTATGGATTGATTGGATTACAACCGCCGCCATCGACGGCGTTAACACTGTCTCCGCCGGGAACAAGTTCGTATGGTTACGAAGTCCGTGATCAAGCGACACCGTTTGGTGCAGAGATTCTTTCAGTGATGCAAGAGATGATCAGGAAAGAGGTAAGAAAATACATGGAAGAAGAAGAAGAAGAAGAAAGGTTGATGCAGTGTGAATCGAACCAAAACTAAATCTTGATTAATTAATTAATTAATTAATCAAATCTCATGAGGTTTAATTAAGATTAAATTTTTTTAATCAATGAGGGATTGTACAGAAAAAACATGGATCATAAATCCATGAATCATCAGCAGAAGAAAAAGAAGAAGAATTGCAGAAAGTACGAATTTTGTGAGATTAGTTTTACAGTTGAAGACTCATTTTGAATTTGGGAGGATAATAGAGTTTTTTTGTTTTGAAATTTAAATGGTATTTTAAACGGACGTTAAGTTTCTGTTAATGCCGTTTATTAAATGTGATAGAGATCTAGAATATGTGTATTAGTACGGATGGTACGATTGAGTTGTAGTGATGGTTGATTTGATTGTACCGTGCTTAGCTGTCGCGATGCTGCACGGGGCTCCAGGCTGGACGTTTTCTTGGATTCTTTACAAGTCAGACAAAAGTACAGTTTCACCCCCTAGGGAATTGGGGCGTACAATTGTACCCCTGAAAAACTGAGGCGTTAACTTTTTGGGTAGTGTTAATTTGAAATTTTAAATTTAGAGTAAATTTTGATAAACCACAACAAAACTAAAGTATTAAAAAGACGATACAAACCCATAAAGATCTTTCCATTTCAAAATAGGACATACCCAATTAAACTTTTAAAAAAAAATCTCATATGAATAAATTGATCAATAAATTTCAAAATGCTAAAATAAATTCTAATAACTTCTAATAGTTAAACCTTACATATAGATAGGTGTTATTTAAACCTTATGTGGAGAGATACATGTTTTACTTAGGAAACAACTTCAACTGTTTTGCCATTTGTGTGTATTCATTTTATATTTCAAAGATGATTCTCTCCTTGTTCTAATCGAGTGACTTACAACCATATTTGTATGGTTAAATTATGGATCGACAGGATGTGTACAAACTTTTAATACATGTACCTAAGCCTGAATTTTATATTAGAACAACTAAACATTTAAAATACAGAAGTGTGGGATGGAATTGTTGGGGTGTGGTTGATTCCGTAACATTTAATAAATCAAGCACAATGCAGGAAAAATGGTTTTAAATGACCAAGAACAGTTCCAATTAAGCTATAAATGGATCATCAAATACAATCATATGGTGTTTAGACAATATACTTCAGTGAAAGAAACTTAGATGATGGAGGTCAATAATCTTGTATAGATTGCATCTACATAAATTCATACATAGCTTGGAGCAAAGATGTCCAACCGATCAAAATCAATCCCTATTTTCTTTTGTTTTAAGCCGTCAACCAAAAGAGAGAGAGAGAGAGAGAGAGAGAGAGAGAGAGAGAGAGAGATTATATCACTATTGAATCATGATGTTTATTCGAAACTCACAAATTAAAACTAGCAACAGGAAACAAATTATCAACCCTTCATATAATTAGGGATGTCAAAAAATCCCGTGGGGCCCCGATCCCGTATGAGGGGTAGTTGTTTAAAAAATTCGGGGACGGGGGCGGGGACGGGGTAAAGTTAACCTCGTTTTTGATTTCGGGGTCGGGGGCGGGGGTGGGTAGTCCCGTCCCGAAAACCCCGTGGGGTCCCTGTTAAATGTTGTATATATATATATATATATATATATATATATATATATATATATATATATATATATATATATATATATATATATATATGGGATAAGGAATATACATTACAGCCCCACCTAAGCTTAGGTACTAAACCTCTAAAATATGTCGTTTTAACATGCTAAATATGCCCGGTTTGGTTTCACTTGGTAAATATATCATCCTCCATAACATTTCTTTCTTTCATTATCGTTTTACCATCTTTGTTTTCTTTCCTCAATTATCGTTTATTACTTCACCCAAGTGAACATTACTAAACCCTAAACCTAAACTCTAAACCCTAAATTTAAACCCTAAACCCTAAACCTAAACCCTAAACCCTAAATCTAAACCCTAAACCCTAAACCTTAAATCCTAAACCCTAAACCCTAACCCTAAACCTAAACCCTAAACCTTAAATCCTAAACCCTAAACCCTAACCCTAAACCTAAACCCTAAACCCTAAACCCTAAACCTAAACCCTAAACCCTAAACCTAAACCCTAAACCCTATTGTGTCGATATTGAATTTACATCTTGAAGTATTAACCGTGAATCCATTAACCGTAATCTTTATATAATAAAACAATGTATTTTCAAGAGGTTTAGTACCTAAGCTTAGGTGGGGCTGTAATGTATATTCCCTTTTCCCATATATATATATATATATATATATATATATATATATATATATATATATATTAATTACATATTTACATAGATCTTGACTTACTGTATTGTAGTTGTCAATCCATTTAGGGTAAATCACAAAACCACGTAATGACGCTTCAATTTCTTTTCTTTGTTGATCGATCCTTTCGAGTGGCCAGTTCCCACTTCTGAGTTCAGACTTCGTCACTCTGCCTCCCATTCTCTCGAGACTCCAAGCGACCGTGGACCTTCAATCGTTCATCATCACTTCAGTGCTTCACCTTCACGTCTTCGCCGGTCGTCGTAAGCCCACCAGTCGCCACCGACTCTTTAGCTGTCGACTCCTTAGCCATCGATCCCTTCATCAGCGATTCCTTAGCGTGCAATTTCTTTCTCGTCTCACTCAAGTCAGGTTCGTATAACATCGTATATCATCTTCTGATCTTATCTTATCAGTTCATCTCATCAATTGTTATTTACTTCAGTAGATATGAAACATCGGTTCTCTGTGATTGAATACAACATCTTCTGAAAATTTATTATTTTTAAATTAGTTGCTCGATATATGATTCATATGTTCACCAGATCATCTATTTCATTGAATATAAACATTACTTTCTTTTAAATTCTTGAAATTTGTTGGTGTTAGTATGGTCTTGATCATCTTTTTGATTTAAATGCAGTTAATTTGTTAGTATTAGTGTGTTCCTGTAATTTGTTCTTGAACTTTGTTAGTTTTAGTGTAAGTAGTGGTTAATTTGTTAATGTTTAATTATGTGTTAGTATGTTCTAGTAATCTGTTCATTTTTCTCATTCAAGTACAATTAATTTATTAGTGTTATTGTGTTCCTGTAATATGTTCTTGAAGTTTGTTAGTTTTAGTGTTAGTTGTGTTTAATTTGTTGAATGTTTTCTGATGTTTTGAAATCAATTCCAGGCTTCAAATATCATGTCTTCGGCTGATCAAACTCAACCACATGATTCAAATACGGTTCATGGTACCGCTAATGCTACTGATCAGGTTGCAGAAAATGATAAAAAAAGAAAACTAAGATCCCCGGTATGAGCTCATTACGAATTGAAAAAAATTAAAGGAACCGAAAGTGAGGGATCGGTTTTAGCAACCCATTGTTTAGTTGGAAAAAAAGTCTAAGATGGACGAAAGTGAGGGATCGGTTTTAGCAACCCATTGTTTTAATTATGAGGATTCACGAATGGATCTTGCTAGGATGATAGCAGAGCATGATTACCCACTCCGTATTGTTGAACATGAAGGCTTTAGAGTTTTTTGTCAAGGGCTTCAACCATTATTTAAGTCTATTAGTAGAAACATGGCTAGGAGTGACGTCTTGAAATTGTACGATGACGAAAAGGAAAAGCTAATGCAATTCTTGGGGAGTATTCAAGGTCGTATTGCAATAACTACCGATATGTGGACTTGCAACAACCAAAGAAAAGGATACATGACCGTGATGTCCCATTTCATTGATGATTCATGGAAATTGCAAAGCCGACTTTTGAGGTAATTACTAATTTATAGCTATATATGCTTAATATAATATGTTTTCATTACTAAATTGAATTTAATTTGTTGATTGGTAGGTTTATATATGTGCCGTCTCCTCACACTGCTGAGAAGCTATCAGAGGTGTTGTTAGATTGTTTGATGGAATGGAATTTAGATAGAAAATTATCAACTTTAACTGTTGATAATTGTTTAACAAATGATTGCATGATTGAACTGATGACAGAAAAAATGCCTTCTTATGGGTTGATTTTAGGTCGAGAGTTGTTTCATATGCGATGTGCGGCGTATATTTTAAACTTAATTGTGAGAAGTGGGTTGGATTCCTTTAAGGGGATTGAGAAAGTTCGTGAGAGTGTTTCTTTTTGGACAACAACACCAAAAAGAATGGAGACATTTGAACAGAATGCAAAACAATCAGGTGTTATTTGTGGAAAAAAAATCGCCCTTGACTGCAAAACACGCTGGAATTCTACATACTTGATGCTTGCTACTGCCGTGAAATACAAAAAAGTCTTCTCCAGGTTAAAAAATCGTGAGCCCCAATATAAGAGTTTACCTAATGAAAGTCATTGGGATTTGGCTAATGAACTTTGCGACAGACTGAAGATCTTTTATAGTGTTACATAATTGTTTTCGGGAACAAAATATCCTACCACTAACATTTTTTTCCTTAAAATTTGCGAAATAAAGTTAGCTTTAAAGAAATGGGATGACTCCAAGTTCATTGAAGTTAGTACAATGGCATCAAGTATGATTACAAAATTTGATAAGTATTGGGAAGACAGTTATGGGGTGATGTATATGGCTACCATCTTGGATCCTAGGTTTAAGATGAAAATCCTAGAGTACTTTTTCCCTCTTATCTATGGAGATGATAAAGCAAAAGTTCATCTATTGAATGTGAAAACAATTTGTGAGGGTATATATCAACAATATGATTCAAGATGTGTAAGCCAAACAAGCAGCGATGATAGTGTCCCCACTTCTAGTACTCAAAATGCAACTCCCAAAGTTGAGACAGAATCATTAGATGCCTTTTTTTCATGGAATTCTTCTAGTAGTGTTGTTTGTGGAAAAACAGAGCTAGAATTGTACTTAGAAGAAAAAACTTTACCGAAGAGTCATGATTTTGATATTTTAGCTTGGTGGAAGCTAAATGCTATTAAATATCCTACTTTGAGTGTGATTGCAAGAGACATATTGGCTATTCCCATCTCTACCGTTGCTTCAGAGTCTTCCTTTTCTACTAGTGGTAGAATTGTTGGTCCACATCGTAGTAAACTTCTTCCAAAAACAATTGAAGCTATCATATGCACCCAAAATTGGTTATCTGGCGGGAAAAAAGGTATGCATTTTGTTTTTATTTGTTGTTTGTTATATCATTTCCATATTAATTGTTGATTACTATAACATTTTTATAGGTAGTCTTGTGGATGGTGGCGATGACTTAAATGTTGATGAAGATGAAGAGAAAGATGGAAAGTAGAATGATTTTGTGTTATAGTAATCATTGATGTTTCTTTGAATTTATCGTAATCGTACATTAGTTTTTGGTTTGTAACTTTGGATTTATTGAGCTTTTTTGGAACTTTAATCAGTCGAGTCGATAGATTTGGATATATTGTGGTTTTTTGGAACTTTATCGTAATCATTCATGTTTCTTTGATTTTTTTTGGTTTGTAAGTTGTAACTTTGAATTTATAGTGTTTTTTTTTCGGGGGCGGGGAAACGGGGGCGGGGACGGGGGTAATCAAGGAATTCGGGGGCGGGGGCGGGGCAACGGGAGAATTTTGGGGGCGGGGGCGGGGGATGTACTCCCCGTCCCGTTTGCCCCCGTTGACATCCCTACATATAATCATATGATCTAGCCATTGGATATACAAAAAAAAAAAAAAAAAAAAAAAAAAACTAACTATAGAAAGGATTGAAATATACAGTATATTTGATTTAGTGAATGATCAAGAGAACCCCAACGAGAGTTTCTTTACTGAAATCGCACCCCTAAATAGCAATCAAACAAGTATCAAACAAACAAAAATTCATTTTGTTTCTTAATCACCAAAAACACCATACAAAATGTGTGTGTGTTTCTTTTTCAACAAGAAAGAGTCGAAAGCGAGGAGAGAAACGTGAGAGATCAATGAGCATTTAAGTATGCTAAAGGGCTTTAGTAATTAACTATTTTTTAATCTATATCCGTTTATTTGAAGCTCAAAATATTAATTACTATATAGAAATTATCCGATCATGTTAATTACATAATAAGCCTTTCAACCTTTCTAATTTCTAATTATATCATCATATTTATGATAAATTAACAAATTAGTCACTCTTAAATCGTTATTTTTGATTTGAATATTGATTGCATTTTATGTGTAACCCAATAAGCTTATGCATCATTAGCAATGTTACTAACTTGTGTCAGGAAGCGTACCTCCAACATCTTGACTTGTGAATATGAATTAGATCATCAGATTCTTTTAGGTACGACCACATGCTCAAATTTATTCATGTCATTAGGCTAAGCGGAGCGGGCTCGCTAAATACCCTCGCCAAACTCGTTAAGCAACCTGGAACACCGCCCCCTAGCGCTTGCTAGGGGGCTCGCCACCGAAGATTCGTCACTGTGTTGGCGAGAAGAAAGAGAAGGAGAGAAACGAATGTGATTGGTCCGATTTTGTCCGATTGTTGAATCTATGAGTTAAATCGGTTAATTTTCATGTTAATTTGTCGATTTTCATCTTCACTCCTGACTTTTGTTTCATCTTCATCTTTTAAATACGGTATCTGATGTGTGTGTGTTTGGACCATCTGTGAATCTGTGCATCTAGGCAATACAGGTAACAAATCCAGTTCATTTGTGAGTCTTGATTGCTTCCATGGCTATAACTAGTTTTGTGAGTCTTGATTGCTTCCATGGCTATATACAGCTCCAATACCGAAGTTTTAAAACACATGTTCAGATCACTAAGCTTTAGATTTGCTTCTATGGCTATGGCTATGACTATCTGCTGTTATTTTCCTGTGCAGACCAGGTGTTCGATCATTTGCCTCTATGAGAATACCACTGTGTAATTCAAATCAAATCTATTCAAAATGCCTGAAATTGGTTGTAACAAAATACTATAGATTAGGAATTGGAGATGCTCCAAGTGTATTTTAAAAAAATATAATTTATATTATATTAAATGTTTGTGGTTTAAAAAAATAAAATTTGTTTAATATTCATGCATAAAAAATGTTTGTTTATTAAAATAAAGTAATTTAATTAAATTAGAAAAAAATGAAGTGTTAGTAGTGTTACCACTCCTTACCAAATGCTAACCTTAGGTGTTAAATGGAAAAAAAAAATGAGGTGGCAACCAAAAAGCTGATGTGGGAAGGTGCTAAGAATGTTACCATTCCCATTAGCCTTAAGGGGCCAACCAATATCACACTCCACCAATTAGATGATCGAATGTCATATCTGATTATATGCGTTTATCTCCAAGTTTCACACTATATGATAGTAACATTTATAACTACCTTGTTAAAAACAAGAATTAACTACATCAATGCATATAATGATATGCTCACTGAGAAGCCAACATACATCTTAGATCGAAGGATTCACAAATTCAATGTATTTTTAAGATTTACTTAATGACGTCGATCTATGAAATTGTTAGTGCATTATTATTGTATCATTATTATTGTGTTTATGTGTGGGATTTGACCCAATGAGCATCCATCTCTCCACATTGTAATTTCATATATATATATATATATATATATATATATATATATATATATATAGAAATAAATTGTTATAAAATTAAATAATCAATTTTTTTTTGCTTCATAAATTTTTACCCTTTGTGGAACACAGAGTTTATTATGGCTGTGAATAAGGTTGATAGATTATTTATTGAAAGTTCACTAATATTTTGTAGGTTATTTGTAAAGTTTTATTGTTAAAAACGAATTTATATATGCACCCAATTACATGCTAGTTTCATGAATTATTAAAATTGAATTTTTATCTTTTAAATTTAAGTAAATGAACAAAACAAAATAAACTAATGAGCTTTAATTTGGGAATTTTAAAATAAGAAGGTAAGTCCATTAATGAAATTGATATTCATTTATTACTACATTTATTGTATTATTGCATTAAAGTATTATGTGAAATTTATTAGAAAAACCCATAAAATGACATGTGGAAAAGAAAATTAATTCAAAATAACCACAAAATGACATTTGTCAATTTGAATGAGAGTGTGACATATGACAAAAAACCTTTATTTATTAGAGTATATATATAGTTAATGAGAAATAAGGAATTAATTAGGAATAATATTTGTTATCATGGTTTCAGAGCAAATATGATCTTGATCCAATCTTTCTCCTTAAAACTTTCTTTCCTTCTTTCTCTGAACCTTTCTCATGTTGTTATCACCCTAATCACAACGATCCTTGGCTACAAAAACCTTCCTTAGGTTTCTTTATTCTCTATCTCATAGCTTAAGCTTCTCCATTTTTTCATCTAATCGACCATGGCTGCTCCTGCACAAACTACTGAAAAACCATATGACATCATCAACATCAAATCATACATCCATTTTATTCTATATGTAGATCGTCTAAATTATGATGCTTAACATGACCTTTTATAAACTCATTGCATTGGATTTAGAGTCACAAATCGTCTTGAAGAACCAACATAAAAGACTAACATTGTAGAATAGAACCGAATACAATCTCTTATCAAGTTATGGGTATATATGATGATTTTCCAATCTTTCTTATAGATGATTTTGAAGAAAAATACAACTGCCAGTCAGTTATGAAGAAGTTTAGAAATACTTTTATGTGATAACAAATATGCAAAAGCGATCCAACTGGATAATGAACTAAAAAACATTGTCATTGGAGACTCCACCGTAACTGAATATTGTTCAAGAACCAAAACCATCGTTGATATGCTTGACAACATTGAAACCACAATTCCATAGAAGAATCTAGTCATATAGATCATTTTGGGTGGTACATAAAATTTGATTAGATTGTGAGTCTTATCCATCATATATCTTCACTTCCTACGTTTCTTGGAGCCCGATCTATGATTTTATTGAAGAACAACAATTGATAGAAATCCATATTCAAAGCGCAATATCACACCGCACTAATCTTTTTTCCTCAACCACGGTTCTTACAATTGATCACTCACCACAATATTAATCCAACCTCGGTGGTCAAAAACGAGTGGTCATGGCTAGGAGGTCGAAAATTTTCTAGTTCACTTAGGGACGAGCCTAATATTTATCTCGATTTTGGAAATCTAGTAGGAACACATGGTAGCTATATTGTATTATCCGGTTACATATCGATCCACCTACAACCCTTCAGGTGGGTATGTTTCCGTATACACATGCCCACAACAACAAATCTGTCTGTTATTACATCTGTCACCTACACCATTGACTCGTTTACACCACCGACTGGAAAGTAAGTCCGACCTACTTAACAACAACTCGCCTAAGCTGTCAGCGCCTAGCCCAACAACTAATAGCCTAATAATGAAACGCTTATTGGACTTTCCTTTATTGCCTCCCAGTCCAACGACATGACTCCATGAGCTTGGTTTAATAGATCAACCTAATAATTATTCTGAATCAAGAGACTTTCCTGCCTTAAATGTTAATACTATGTCACTGAATGAACTTGGTAATGGTGGATTGTACATGGATTCCAATGCGACATCTCATTTGCATATGGATGCAAGTATATTGACCTCAACTCATGACAATGGTTTATCTTCTTTTGTATAAGTCGGTAATGATTCAAAGATTCCAATTAGTAAGTATGTAGGCTCCATTCTTCTTAGTTCTAATCCCTATCACACTCTATCTTTTATCCATGTTCTTATTACTCCCAAATATCATTAAAAATCCTATTTATGTTCGCCATTTTATTCGTGACAAAAAATGTTCAATTAAATTTGACATCAAATACGTCAAAACCTCCTGAAATGTGACAGCACAGACGATTTATATTGTTGTTAATAAGAAAGGAGGAATTAATCAGGAAAATATTTGTTATCATAAATAAAATCTTGAGGTGGGTCAATCTAATCTGGCGAATTGGATTTAATCTCAATCAAATATTACTACTTGAGATTTTCTCAAAATCAGATTTCAAATTTTCTAAAAAAACAAATAAATATCCACGTATAATATAACCCATTAAAAACATATGTTTTTATTTGGCATGGGCTACACATTTGAACATCTTTGGTTATCTGTCACTAACTCATAGTCTACTACTAGTTTTAACTGTCAAAGTTGGATACTTTCTTGGGCCTGGGTTTTTAGTATAACCCATTAGACTTTGGGCTTGGGCTTGGGCTTTTCATGACCCAACACTCCCATGAGTTTACTTCAAGCTGCATCAACTATGTTGTGTATACAATTACAGGGAAAGGGCCGAAGGAGGATCGAGAGACCGAACGGAGGACCGAGAAGTGTGTGATCGAACAAATTATCGATCGGAATTTTGCATAGCGTCGATTGTAATTGGGGTTTACCATCGATCGAATTCTCCATTTTCAGTTGCTGACTGAAGAAGAAGTACACGAATCAGTAAACCAGAAGGGAGGATGTTGCCGACCTCATCGAAAGGGCGAATGCCCTCTCGCCCCAATCCAATTCTCCCACAGTACCTCCGTAGAATAGTCAAGGTTCTAATCCTCTCTCTTCTGTATCCGTATACTGAAAAACCTGTTTTGTATTTTGCACATTGCTGTAGATCTGATCTAGTTGCTCATCATTTCTACTTTCAAACTTTTTTTTTTCCGCTAGAATTGGGGTTTTTCATATTAATTAGTTAAGTTATTGTGGTTGAGACAGACTAGCTTTTTGCTGTTCATTCTAACTAGTACCTTGGGGCTCAGCGTTGGGGGAATTTGAAGTACATATACTTGTATCTTGACTCATAAGTTGTAACTATTAGATTAGTAAAAAGTCGTATAGAGAGTGAATTATCAGCATACTTACTTAATCCAGTTGGTGATTAAAATTGCATTTTGATCCTTTCAAGTCAAGTTTTGGAATCACCATAAGAGCTACAACTGACCTAGGCTGACTCTGAGAAACAATAAAGATGGAGATTCCTGGAGGAACTATTGATGGTTTATAGTCGTCATGTTCAAATGGTTGTATGCAATAACCTTTGGTAAAACCAAAAGGGAATACCTTTTGTGTGGTCTTTACCTTGAATTTCTATGCTTGTTGAGATAAGTATAAGCTATTCTATGGCCAGTGGTGTATCTGTTTTTAACTATGATATGACAGATGTAGAATACTAGAATAGTGAAGGATCTAAAAGTTAATGCAACTAATGGGCCAAAGATGTAGATCAGTTGATTTCCTTTATCTTAATGAAAACCATGGAAACTATATGGGTTCTACTAGAAAAGGTACACAATAATAGTTGTTTTAGGACACACAAATGAGTGAAGGACCTTTTCATGAACTTTCTTGGTTTAAGTCAATAGTTTAATATCTAAGGTAAAGATTGATGAGGCATTTGATCTAGTAGGCATGGAAGACTTGAAGTAGCTGTTCAACACTTGAACATATCTTATTTTGAGCTTGTTATTTACTTATTTTGCTATTATATTGGTCACTTGATTTTCCTGTAATTTTTTGCTTAAAAGCTTAGGAATGAAGAACAAAGTATGACATTCTTTAGTGAATGAAGAACAATATTTCTACTGCAATCTTAGTTAACCACCTAGTCCACTTAATTAGACCATTTGACTTTATTAAGCGACTTTCCTATTTTGCCCTTTCTTATTCTAACATCTACCCATGAGTGCCATTGCCATCATTTTATTACAGAATATATTTTACAATAACCCATCCATCTTATTATGCCTAAAAACTCTCATAAATAACAATAATCTAAATTTTCGACAATTAATTTATAATTTGCATTATCAACTTCTTTATTGCAGTGGCAACAAATGGATATTGAATACACTTTCTGGCAAATGCTTCATTTATGCACCTCACCAAAAGTTGTGTAAGTATCCTTTTTTCATTCTTTTTACCCTTTCTTCTTCTTAATGCTATTAAATATTAAATATTACAAATTATATCCTTGGCTGTTTTCAGATCTATTCAGTAAGTGTGAGTAGATGACCATTTTACCCTTCTGTCCTCGTTAAGTCCATTAAGTTAAAAGGAAACAACACCTTAGTCATGTGTTCCCATTTTTTTAAACATGTTATGATAAATAATCTAAAAAAAAAAGAAACTAATTTTACATTCAAGATTCAACTACTAATATGCTAATAATATCCATATCTATTAAATCTTGCAAAATAAATAGATGTTTGATTTGTGGAATTTCCTGATGACAATAATTTTCATGTTTTGATTTTTGAATGTGGGAATTATGAACTGGATGCAGCTATCAGCACACCAAGTACCATAAACGTAAGTCAACCTCTTTTTTAATGTATCAAATAATGAATATATAAAAATAATATAATGCAAATTATATGTGGATTTCATGATATTGTCTTCTTTTTACCTTTTTACCTTTTTACCCCTGCAGAAACAAAAAACCAGTGGGCCCGTGATGATCCTGCTTTTATTGTAATTTGTATTCTTATCTTGGCAGTTTCAGCTGTTGCTTATTCTGCTGCGTAAGTTAACGATGTTTTTAAATACTTTTTTAAGAAAAAAAGTTATATAATTTTTAATGACAAAAATGGTTTTTTATGCGAAAATGACATCATTTTGCAAAAAGAAATAAAAAGCACAGCTTTTTGAAGTGGGTTGCTATTATGTGATAAATGTTAAAATCCATTTTGGTCATTTTTGTAATTAACCCATAATTTGTTCATCCATTATAATTAAATAATCTTCAAAGTAGAGATTAACATATACATTATATTTACAAATAATGTAAAAAAATTTAACTCACTTACTATATTGCTATATATATATATATATATATATATATATATATATATATATATATATATATATATATATATATATATTTGTGGTTTTAGGTATGATCATAGCACTGGGCATGCTGTTTTTGTTGTTTTATCAGTGACATGTGTCCATTTTCTATTGGCCGGAGCAATTGTTGCTACATTTTGCTGGTAACCAATTCTCACATTTTTTTTAAGATAAAATTAAAAACTTATTTTTTAATATTTATATACTTAATGTCATTAATTGTTTTTTTCAAGGTTTGTGACTAATAATTACCTTCGTGAAGAAACCTCACACAGTCACGTGGTAGAACAACGCGTTGAATGGCAAGTACAAAAACTTTCTTTTCACTTTTCCAATAACAAGGGCATTTTCGTCTTTTTTCACATTCAAGAGACAATAAAGTCCATATCCCACTTTTTTGGGCGCGACACTTTTTTGTCCTAGTAACACCAGTCTCAGTGTCAGTCCAATAGTTAATAATAATCTGTTCTGTTCTGTCCTTGTCCTGTGTAACAAATTTACGAAAATGCCCTTTGTGTATAATTTTAATATTTTGTTTATTGTACAGGTTGTATGCATTTGATGTGCACTGTAACTCCTTTTTCCCGATGTTTATCGTGCTTTATGGTAAGCACAATATTTTCTGCTAATAAAGTTTAAATTTAAATAATAATAATAATAATAATAATAATAATGATTTTATTTTTTGGTTTTTATGACAGTGATACATTTTTTTATATCACCACTTCTGGTAGCACACGGATTCGTTCCACTTCTGCTGTCAAATCTGATTTTTACTGTCGCCATATCTTACTATCACTACCTCAACTTTTTAGGTTATGATGGTAACAAATTTCTTTCACCTTCATATACACAATCTATTAAATGACCATTTTATCCTTGCATTAAAAAATAATCACAATATTAATGTAATGTTCATCAATAAAGAAATGTTGTTATTATAGGTAAAAAAAAATAAAGTACATCGTCCTAAATGAGCATCATTCTAATCAAAAGCAAAAATAATTGATAAATTAAGCTCTTTATCTTTAACAAAATGAATTCATTTTAAATCGTTTTTTTTTAATAATGATTTTTTAATAGTAGTATGAATCCATTTATTTGAATATCTTTGATTTACACGCTTTTGAATATGAAAAAAGATTTTGTTACTACCTAGTACCTTTCAAGTACTTTTTTTATTAAGATGACGCTTTTCAAATAATTTTTAAAATACTATATACATTTTTTTTCATAGCAATGTGAACGATTATAAAAATTTTATAGACGTCAAACCTGACATCTTTTAATAAAGTTATTTTTGTTTCATTCTATAAAAAAAAACAGCATATCTTAATCATACCAACTCACTTTATTTATTTATTTATATTAATATCGGGTAACAAGTTCAAGGTAACCCTACACCTTTAAAGCGTGCTTATTTCCTACATTTACCTTTTACACCGCCTTTTGATTTTCAATATATTTCAAACCTAATTCATCTTAAATTCAACGTTTCGACATAGATTTCTTCATTTTTGTTTATTATTTTAAGTTATATTTATATAAATGAATATAAAAATTCTTACTTTTTATGTTTCAGTGCTTCCGTTTTTAGAGAAGACCACTTTCTTCCTATACCCAATTGGCGTTGTGATCATTTTTACACCCATATGTAAGTGTTACATTTATTCTTTTATTTAATTTTGACACCATGAAGTGAATAATTTTATTAATTTTTGTTTTGCAGTGATTTTAAGCGGGTTTAATCCTTCGAGATACATTATGAACATTTACTTTAGTCAATGGTCGTGATTTGAATTGGAATTTAATGTGGAAAATTACATGAAATATTAGAAGAAATTGAGTGGTAGTGATGAATCTTAATGTATACACAAGGGAAGCTAGGAGTTTACCTTAAACAACAAAGAGCTTTGTTTTCTTAAATGTGTAAATGCACCTTATGCCATTTTGATTGAAAATCTGTTGTCATATGAAGGTCAATATTGTCTTTTCACTATGGTCCTAAATTTTATAAAGAACTTCCGTTTTCATGTAATTTGAAAAAGGGAAAATGACATAACTGCCCATCAAACTTTCTAGGATTTACCCTTTGAGTCCTTAAAGTTTTTGTTGGGCTTTATGGGTCCCTAAACTAGGATATGACCTGCTCTTTTAGTCCCTGTCAACCTGTAATAGCCGGTTCAGTGCCCTTTTAGACCAAAAAAACTCACAATGTGCCCCTATAAAACCAAAAAAATAAGTTTGGGGATCAATTCGTACAAAAAAAAAAAAAAAACTCCTTCATTTCTTCTAAAGCCTTGTTTCAGTAGCTTTGAAAATTTCAACATCTAGTAAGATTTTACAACACCGGTACAAGGAGTTGCACAGATTGACTTCAAATCATCAAGAGACAAGCTTCTCCTGTAAGGGACTCAAACGAAATGTTAAAAGCTATTGGATGATGGTAGAAACCGATAACCCCCAATTTGCAATTGCTTGTTCACAGGTTCTTCTGCTTTTAGGGTTCTATGTGTTATCTGTGCTTGCATTTTATTTGCTGAATTGATAGCTATGTTTGTTGATAAAACGAGATTTGATTATGGAAAATCAAATTATAAGTGGTCAATCGACGAGATTGTTATTATGCAATCAATTGGTGCAATAGTAGGTAGTATAGCACCGATTTTAGATGTGACTGTTACAACTTATTTCAACCTCTCCACAAAATGGAGCAAAAACTATCTAAACGTTTTTAGAGTCGAGAAGCACTTGATCCAAATGCTCCAGCTGTGGAAATGTGATACAGATCCTAATATGGCAGTTAAAAGGGAAAATGAATCAAAGCTGCTACAAGATTATTCTGGAAGAAGTAATAAGGGTAAATCTGGAAAATGGCTAAGATCTGTTAGAGAGAGAGAGAGAGAGAGAGAGAGAGAGAGAGAGAGTAATAAATAGGTAGGAATGATTTCATTTGTAGGCATTCAGATATTTTGGGTGATAGTGATACTCTTGTATCGGCTCAAGCCTTGTGGCTGTGAGAGAGGGGTTTCCCTGGAACAATCTCTTGATTGTGTTTCATTGTCAATCTATTTCATCTTCTTTCTTACAATTCTTCTTTGTATCATTCAATTTCATTAAACCCTAATTCCTGTTCTTCATCAAAATGCAGCCATGTCCCTTCATATATCCCAAGCTACCATTGCAAAAAGATTTTCCGTAACATCAGATACTTGATTTTGAATATTTATATGGCATTTCAGATAACAGTTGCGGTGATATGCAACACAACATGTCTCATTCCCAGATCTTTTCTGATCGTACTTTCTTATAGTTACTATTTCTGGAAATCGTTGTTGATAAAGTCCGTGGGAGAACCAGATGCATCTCTTGACGAATTGAGTGTGAATCGGCTTTAGAAGAAATAAAGGAGAGTTTTTTTGTACGAATTGATCCCCAAACTTTTTTTTTTGCTATATAGGGGCACAATGTGAGTTTTTTTGGTCTAAAAAGTCACTGAACCGGCTATTACAGGTTGACAAGGACTAAAAGAGGAGGTCATACCCTAGTTTAGGGACCCATAAAGCCCGACAAAAACTTCAGGGACTCAACGGGTAAACCTTAATAAGTTTGTAGGGCATTTATGTCATTTTCCCTTTGAAAAAAAACCTCAAAAGTACTTACCATTTTAGAGATTTTGAGATTTTGTAGATGTTACCTCGATCACTTTTTTTTGTATGTTTTGTATTTCCTTTATAATTAATAACATTTTATTTTAAACCCTAATTTGTATCGATGTATTATGTGGTTGTTAATTTTTTGACTACTTAATATTTTTTTATTATATATATAAAATGAAAGTATATATATATTTTATAGAAATTATATAATTAAGTAAAGTAATATAGATTTGAGAAGTATAATGTGTATTAAAAAATGACAAATTATATTACGGTTTTTTGTTGACATTAAATATAGATGAGTATAAATTTGTTAATATTAAAAAAACCTTTTGGAAAGGTTTATTTGTTAGGGTGAGTTTTTTATAATAGATTTTTGTAAAACAAATATTAGTCGGGCCCCGTTTGATACACATCTTTCCAGATCCAAACAAATCTTTCTTGCTGAATGAACCGGAAAGACTGTTTGATTTGCACAAAAGAAGGGATCTTTCCCGGTAAGATATGTCTTTCCCAGAAAGCCCCAAAATCATATCTTTCTGGCTGAATGGGCTGGAAAGACAATTATACACCAAACCCCGCCTCTTTCTTTCTTTATTGGATTATTAATTTTTTTAAATAACTTTTTTTAAATTTATTTTTTATTGAATTATTACTTTTTTTCATCATTCAACACAGTCAATCAGATGTACAATCAAACAACATGGTTTCTTTCCCAGTCAGAAAACTTTCCCAGACAGCACTTTACCAGACAACACTTTCCCAGACAGAAACTATCAAACGAGACCTGAATCTTAATCTCATTATTGATTCTACTATTCTTTCTCATTACAAAGATAAAGAAAGCTGGAGTCGATAGAAGAGTATCATGTGTTCTTTTATAAAATCCTTTTGTTCTTAAAAAAAAAGATAAATGCAAAACTAGATGGAACATTCTACCACCATTAAAGTTAATAAAACTAGATGGAACATTCTACTACCATAGTTTGACGTGTTCTTTTACAACGATTGTCTACCAGAGAAAATTTACAAAGGTATGCATATTAATTATCTTCTGTGCCATGTGGCTTTCATGTGATCATGTGGAAAACACAAAACACTTATATTGATATTATTGTTTGGCTACCACATTTAGAAACAAACTATATGATATCTTTTGGAATGTTGCTCTGTTTCAACTCATTAAGGGGTTGTTTTGATAGTTGTTAATTGGGTCAGATCTGACTGAGTCAAATCCAACATCTTATCAGACCCGGTAAGAGTCATATCCGAGGCTATAAGACCGATTCAGAAGCTTCTAACTGTGGTATCAAAAAATCCGAATCATATCGAGTCAGACTCAACTTCTTACCAAAACTCAGTAAAAAGCATATCCAACAACGCCTAAGCCAAAAAAGACTTTATACTAAGAGCAAAAACCTTAAAGTGAATGGAGTTTGATGACTTTATAATCCAATTTTAACTGTCTTTTTTATAACGATTTTTCTAGCATATTGTTAGCTGTTCATATAGTTACTTAACCGTTTGTAAAAAAAAAAAAAAGATATAATATACTAGTTTTGTAATGCTTTTTTGTATAGCATACCGTTAGTTTTATTACCTTTTTTGGATATCTAAGACTGACCACACATTACAATTAGTCATCGCATAAGTGAGTCCACAAAATTATGCAGGGAATTGTCATGTTGTTTTACTCATTCTTGACCACGTTAGTTGGACATTTGGGGTGAATGTTTCTAGAAAAATATTATTCAAAGTAGAAGAATCCTTTTTAAACATTTAATGCACAACCTTTCTGTCGAGAATAGCATGTAACAAGTCAATTAAACTTATGGTTCATGTACTATCTTCAAATGCCATAACAAAACTGGCATTTATAATATATTTAATTAAATAATATATATATATATATATATATATATATATATATATATATATTATATATATATATATATATATATATATATATATATAATGTCATGCCTTATGTCATAAAGTATTTAATATTTTAGTGGTGGAGGTGGTGGAAATGCATTCATAATATTATGAGCACGACTACATCACTTTCCTGATAAGTCATTTCTGTCTCATAGAAGTTTTTTAAAGCGACCTTTAAAAATATGGACCACAAATTTTGTATAGATTCAAATTTTCTTAGTTTCTTATTTGGAGGGTTGGTGAGTAAGTGGATATTGCTCTTACTCTTCTTTTGTAAATTGTATTTGATATATATATATATATATATATATATATATTATAATATATATATATATATATATAATCTATATATATATATATATATATATATATATATATAACGTTAAGTTATTTTAAGAACTAAAAAAATGTACGAAAACCCAAAAACTCATAATCTCAGCTTAACATTTTTCAAAACGAAAACTATCATTAGACCAATTCCAATGGAACAGTAAAAATATCATTTTAGTGTTAGTTTTTCTTTTTAGTATTCTAACTAACCTCTAAAATACACCATTTTAGTGTGTGGTAGGATACTAGGATTGATTACACTATTTTAGTGTTTAAAAATCACCATTTTTATGTTTTACCATTGGAGTTGGTCTTAGTCTCCAAATTCTGTATCTAAGCCATATTTATGCTATAAAAAAGATTTGACGATTTGAGATATCCATATATACACATCTGAATGTGTATATATTCATATTTTTTTCTTTGCAAAACAAACACAACAATGAGACTCTAATGTCTACGTTTAAAAAAATTGGAACTTGAAAATGTCAATATATATATATATATATATATATATATATATATATATATATATATATATATATATATATATATTATAAATGTGTATATATGCACATTTCTACAAAAAAAAAGTTTGCGGATTTTTTAGAGTTTGGATCTTTCTTACACGATGGATTTTGTGCTGATTGGTGATGTTGGTTTTGAAAAGTGTTGTCGGATTATTGTTATTATTTTATTATTTGAAAGACATTAATACAAAAATAAAATAAATAGTATTTAAAAAATAATATTTTATTTTACTAATAACTATCAAATAGAACAACTCTTAAAATACTAAAATTACTTCCCAAGACATTTCGTGAAAGGTGACCATTCAGTCAAACAATGTACATGGTTCTCCATCCGATAGAACCTTTTGATCTTTGGTTACATAGTTATGGAAAAATAGTATGTTTGGTATGCTACTTCTAAAACAACATTCACATAATAACTTCCATAAACATATACAATAACAACAGCTACATGATTTAGGACGTTTTACGAACCGATCCTTACCAGGAAGCACATTGTCAAACCTTGTTTGCTTAGTTACCGAATGATCGCACCATATGT